ACAGATCCACCTGAGTGGATTTGGCTTTTGCAGAGGTTCCATTATTAATACAGGTACTGTACCCCATGTATTCCTTGTGCATGGTATTGCTATCGCGGATGCCTGGATAGCTGTTGAGAGGGGACATCGACCACTTGGCCAGCCTCCTAGCATCCCGCCTTTCTTCTGGGCTTCTGAACACTCAAAACTCCCTTCTGTTGCTGCAATGTACAAGAAATCTCTCTCCGTCTCTCGACATGCAGGCGCTGAGCAAGCCTGCCGAATGACATCTTCCCCCTGCTTTGCAAAAATGCATGTCTGCAACATGTATGCATCTCTCTCGGGCTCCCACCGTGACCCTGCAGCACCAGCAGGCACTTGCCGAAGACGGGCTCCCAAACACGTGCCGTGCCGTCAGTGGAGGCCTCGTTTCTGGTTCAAAGCATGAGCACAGACTGTCTGATGTTGAGAAGCCGAGCTGGCTAACATGGGAAAATCTTGTCTAAGGGGTTCAACCGTTCCAAGTCGGACAAACAAATCTCCGGAGAATGCCATTGAAATTCGGGGCCTCGTCTCTCATGTGTCCAAGATCTCGTGGGCAGTTGGAAAGACAGGCAGTATGCACACCAAAGCCATATGCGACCACTGCCCCAAGGCAGCTCCCCGAAACTCGCGCAACAGTGAACGAAGAGTGATTTCCCTGGCGAGTGCCAGCGACGAGATCTGGTACGAAGCTTCGCCAAGCTTGCTTCGCACCCGCTTGGTTTCTGCATGAGCTCGTTCAAAAATTGCTTGGCTACAGCATTATCCCAAAGACCATCGAAAATGGAACAGCAGGGCCTGCGGCTTAGGGTGGGCCTTGGCCTGAAAACGACTGTTACTTGTACAGTCTATGCTCCGGACGTTTTCGCCGAGGACATGGGTCTAGGTGCCACATGTAGGGTCAGTAGTAAAGCAACGAAACTCTCGTTCAGCTACACTCACGCTAATCGCAACTGGTAGATGTGTAGGTGGGATCGACAAGATGCTTAAGAGCACCATGCGACGAAGAGAAAGTGATGCATGAAGCTCTGACCCTAAGACTAGCAGTGTAGGTTTAGGAAAAAGAAGCACAACAGCTCATATGTCCAAGCAGCGACACTGTTCCAGGACTGTTTCAAGTTTGGTCTCTTCCGCTGCTGCGGTTCTGGTAGTTTAGTAGCTGAGCTACGGACCGTCACGATGCGCGAACCATCCGGCGAGAACCGTGCCGCGGAGACAGCGCCGAGGTGCTTGTCCAAAACGTGTGTGCATGTGCCATCCACGGACCAGACCTACAGCCACCGAAGCAATTTCATAAACTTGTCGTGAGACGAGCATCTAAGCTCATGTTCGGCTCGTACAGCCTGCTGCGACAAGTCCCATCGCTCAAACTAGTGGAGCCCCTACACAGCTTCCGTCCTCTACAAAGGTCCGAGCCCAACTAAGTTAATCCAAAACATGAGATGTGAGGTCCAGTGGCCCTGCCACCAAGCCACTCGTGCAGTGTGATCTTGTGAGGCCGTGAGCACCTTCAATTTCCGGGCACACAGCCGACCCGTGGCTGGGATTACGATGTATATGCTGCCATTTTGAGGAAGATCGGGGACTCATGCTGAATCCGGAAAGTGGGGCATAAGCTTACAACCAATGAGCGGCCCAAATGTGCGAAGATTAATGATTATGTACTGCAACCTGGAGCCTGTTGGATTGATGCGTGGCCTGTCCGCCCGACGGCGCGAAGGTTGCGGAATAGACCTGGAAATGTCGCAGAGGACGCGATGGCAGCCTTCGGGTTTCAGGGACCAAGGATTTCAGCTTCTACAGGCTGTTGTGCACCTTGTTTTCGAAGTGGCGCTAACTAGAGTAACTAGAGGGTATAGAAGAGATCAGCACAGGCTGCTAGACAAAAAGAATCTTCGTCATGATGCTGTTCTTACCACGGCCCTGAGGATGATATTGTTGATACCTGTTGACGGGCCAACCTCATTAAGCTTACACGCCACCGTAACTTCGCGATTGCCTCCTCCAAGGACCTTTCACGGAATCCAAAAGCATCTTCAACCGATGGCTTCAGAAGCCGTTGTTTCCCCAAGGCACAGCGTTTTTCAAGAGCAACGTTTCCAAAAACGATCTTAGATTTTCACATCACCGTGCCTTGGAGATTGGGGCTTCCAGATACCGTTGGCACAAGCCAAGATCATCTTCAACCGATGGTCGAACCGCCGGGCACAGACTCTTCGTCATGATGTGGCCGTGCCCAGACAAGCGACCGGCTTATCTCACATCAGTCGGTAAGAGTACACATCGACCGAGAATGCACACTGTTTCACAGAATTGCGCATCATTGGCGAGACTTCGAGTCAGTGTAGGCTAAACCCTGCTAGTTGTACGAGCCGCATGGTCTCACAGAACTCATCGCCCAATCACTTTAGATGGCTCGGCCCAGTTTCAGGGCACAGGAGGTAGCCCAACATGTCAACATGCCAAGAAGACGGCGCAGAAGCCAAAAGCCCCAGGCAGGCACAAGAGGCCCAACACATCTAACATTCATAAGAAAGCTCAGTACCTTTTAAGGGACTGCCACATTGGGCCAGCTTCAAACTCTGAAATACGAATGTTTCATGAAGGATTCCCGGGGGCACAGCGAAGTTTCGGAACCGTGACGGTGGGTCGCACACAGTAGCGCCTATGATCCCTAAGCATCATGTGCAACCATCAAGTTTGCTCCTCATGCGATTCCATAACCGCCTGCTCGGCACACACATCAGTGGGATCACAACACAACATCAAGACTACCGGCAGTGACTGCACATGTACAGTTTCGATTCCCCACGCGCCCGCTCGAGACACTCCAGTGGCATCACAACACATCAAAAATTCCGCATGCAGGCCCGGTGGGCGAAGGTCGGCTTCCGAGCACTTTGGAACTTCTGTGGAAGTGCACAAGATGAGTGCGGATATGCTTGCATGCGGACGCTGCCACAAGACTGGAACAAAGAAGGATCGTCGAAGCTAATCGAAGTGTATTTCAACCAAGCCTAAGCGATGCGAGATAAAGCGACCCGCCCCCGCCCAAGATGCGATCTTGGTGACTGATCGACGCCCAGCCCACTAAGGCGAGTAATGCCATATGCGCCAGAGAAAGCTCAACTTCCGTTTCGTGGTGAAATGGTATCACAGTTTTTCTGCAAGGCACAGTGGGGCTGGGACGACTTGCTTCTTGCGGCACGACTTCCTACCGTCGACAGAATGTCACCTCTCAGTCAATTCTGTCCGAAACTTTCCATCTACTCCATGGAGATTCTATCGAAGTAGGGGCCTCGATCTCGTGCAAAAAGCAAGTTTGCATCGCACGATGCCGGCGTCCGTCTAAAGCTAACCCTAAACATGTGAGCCTAAGCTACCCCTAAGTTCAAGATTCAGCCCAAAGAGGAAACCCTCAACGACCTCAAGCCGTGGAGAAGGAGCCCACCCAAAAAAAGGTAGAGACATGCCTGGGTGGCATGAGGACGCACGATTCTGGACTTTAGAGTCTCTAGAGTCGCCCAGGGTACAAGCTCAAAGGATGAGGGCTGACAGCAGAGCGCTACTGAGTAGCAAACAGGTACATTAGCCAGCAGTTGCCTGTGCTGGCACCACTATGAAACAGGACACCTGCTGGTCTGCTAGGCAACTGAATCACTCAGCGGACCCTTCATGCCCACATAATCCAAATCTCAGAATCCACTGTTCTAGCCGCTCGTACGGGCCGTTGATTCCCGAGTCTGAAACCCTTAGTGCAACCGACAAGCTTCATCCGCATGGCCGGCAAGTTCAGCTAAGCAGGAGCCGGTCTCGACACTCCAAATCCGAGCAGTGCCGTCCTCCGCGCACTTTAAACTTTACGACTGGGTTTTTTCCTGTTCGGGTCCGCGCTGCCAGCCTGATTCAAACGACGAAGACCAGACACCCAAAATCAAGACCAAGAAAAAACACGTTTGACAACGCCAACGAAAAGAATAATAAAACAATCAGGAACACGAACAATAACACCGACAACAACATTAGTCTGGGCCGTTGAATACCAAGGCTTTGGAACAAAGCCATCCGCGACGAACACTTCAGGACCGAAGGTGTTAGGATGTGGATGGATGTGAGTTTGAATGGGTTTGATTGCATCATCCACCTGAGGTAGTGTTGGTACAAGACCGGAGGGGCCATATCCGAACCCCGCAGGATTTTGTTACAGGGTCAACACAGACTACGATATGACTTCGCGGTGCATACATAGCAGCTGTAGCAGGAGCGACTACCATGGGCTTGTTATAAAACTCTTCCGGCATGACCCTCAACCCAAATGCCCAATGAATTTAAGAATGCAGTAGCACTGTTGGCCCCTTCGCACTGGAACCATTCCCAAGTACATCCAGCATCTGGCTTCCAAACACCCTCTGTCCAGAGAGGCCGTGGCAATGGTGCTGCCACTGGGCGCGAACTCGACGCCGACAACACTGTGGCAGTGCCCTGAAAGGGTTCGCAAGCACCTTGGCATGCGGCATAGGATCTGATTAAGTCGGGGTCCTGCCCCATGCAACAGCCTATGTATCTTTGCACAGTGTGTATGTATGTGTGGTCATCCGCCGTGCGAGCACTTGGCTGCTTTGGCCAATGTATCGTGCCGGAGACTTTGCGTGCCATGCTTCTTAACATTGGGCAGTGCTCTTGATTAGGCCACTCAGACCTGTGTTCGCAATCACTGACCGGACTGTATCAATGCTATGTGTAATGGCTTACAGGTTCTTTCGAATAGCAACCACGAAAATAACATCGGTAATCGCGGCAACGGAGGATGCCGCGGGCCTCTGAGTTGGCCGACAGATGGCGCAAATGTAAAGAGTGGGGTTTAAGTCAAAGCGCCGCGCAATTATCTTCTTGAGCCGTCATATTCCCTGAAGTCCTGCATCCACAAAGCTGCAAGTCGAAGCCTAGTCCTTCTCAAGCCGCGTCTGCAGGTAGGGCGCTTTCCCGTTTCGACGGCCCAGAGCCTGGAGCACATTGGAACACAGTACAAGGTTTGCCCAACCTTGAGATGTGGGCAGCTTCTTGAAGCTCTCGGCAGGCTCGGCTGGGCTGCCAGCTCTGAGCTGCACGACTGCTACTGCTACGGGACACGCACCACGCGGGCCGGGCTTTGGAAAGAAGCTGATAAACAGGAAATGCGAAAGACAGGGTGAGCCCGGCCCTGCCGCACAAGCCAGAAAAACTGCGGCAGTGCAATGCGCAAATTTTCTCGAACTCTTATGGTGGGGTTTCTCCGGGAACGGGAGCGCGAGTCCATGCATGCCCTGAAGCCCTAAATTAGGCCCTAAATCCCACACCCTCTCTGGGACATTTCCAGCCTCCTGATCCCTCTGCAGCAACTGAACTCCGAATCCCGATCTTTCTCTCTCTCTCTCTCCCTTGCTGGCTTGCTTGCTTGCTTAGGGGTGTGGGCTCCAAGGGGAACCCTGGCCCGAAGGCCTACCCCGACAAGTTTCGCGGCCGTCTGTCCTCAAGGCTCCTCCCTCCCTCTCTCAACTTATCTCAACCCGAAAACCTGCGATGGCCTGGCGGTGCCATCTTTGGACCCGGTTGCCAGGACAGACCCAACCTTCCAGGCAAGTGTAAGCGGCGAGGGCGTACCAAACAGCGGGCTAAGGTCTGGCGGTTCAGGCTCATAGGGTGTAGGCTGATCGACAATTTTGGCCGAGGCGTTGCGGTCTCAGGTGCTTAAATTCCTCAGATCAGTGGTGACCCAGGTCAGGCCCATTGATTCGATTGGTTTGGTTTGAATGTAGCCAGATCGGAGGGCTCTAATGAAGGCTGCGCTCCTTACCGAACTCGGAACCGCCGCTGCTGCCAGGAGTCTTGCACAGCAAGAACCAAAAGATCTCCATTCTCCACCTCAAGGGCTGGACTCTTGTTAGCATGTTACTTCTGCAGCGAAACAGTCAGTTACACGGAACAGAGACGCAAAGAATAGACTTAGAGAGAGGCACAGAAAGGGCACCGCGGACTGCTACCCCATCTGTTGCCATTGCTACTTCCACGGTAGGGTTACGTAAGGGGTTGGGATGGTTTAGGGCTTTGTTGTCAGGACGAGGATCACGTACCACCCTCAACAGTATTCAACAGTGCTGTCGGGTATATTAGAGTATTATAGAACTCATTACGGAACCCTGAACAACTTGTACAGTATTCAGGGCTGCTGCTGCTGCTCCTACTCCTATTCCTCCCCTCCTCCTCCCACTCCTCCTGCTCCTGCTGTTGCTACTACTTCGACTACGACGACTACATTCTTGCTTGCTACGCCCCGCTGTCGCCGCCACAGCTGCTGCTATTGCCACTACCGGAAGATTGGCCCAGATTGGCCATGGCAGCACAATCCGCAAGAACCAGCGCCACCCCGCAAGAACGTCTTCTTTCTTGTTAATAATCATCTTCTTCTTCATCGTCATCACCATCAACATCATCATCACCACCATCATCATCATCATCGTCGTCGCCATGGGGCGGAGGCAGGTGTTGGACAGAACCTTCCTTTGGTGTCAAGCAGCCCCTTCTCTTTCCAGAGCCACGTCGTTCTTCGACATGAGCCGGTTGCCAAAGGATAACCTTACAAAGGCCAGCACTCTCAGCCCTGCTTCGAAGACCTCTCCGCTTGGGATGCAGCGAAGAACAGTCACGTTTACAAACCTGAACCCTGAAGCCCTAAGTTCTTAAACACCGCTTGTCAGATGTGCTCGGTAAGAGTGTCAGACGATTCGGACGATTCGGGAAGCTCGACCTCTGTCGAATTGACTGGTCTCTTCCTGTCGAACCCAGCTCTTCTGCTCTTGTGTCATCGAAATAATCGCTATCCTCAGGGACAGGAAAACTGGCCCATCGAGCGCAGTATGATTATGGCTGTATTCAGCTTTCAGCTTTCCCCCGAAACATATAAGCCAAAAACCCACAGTCATGGAAGGCTTCTGGTTTATTGCAGGGTCAGAGAAGGGGCATAAAGGCAGTCAAGACGCATTTGCTGTACCTTTGCTGCCCACTCAAAGAGTTGGATTGCCTACATACGATCCATGCACTGCTCCAACAGTAGTTCTTCCTCGTGCCAACTCTGAAATATTCCAACTGCTGGGCAATCGGGATGAATTGCAGCTTTCTCGTTCGAGCTCAAATACCCCGCTGAAGGAAAGTTGCTTCTTCGGTCCTGTGCCGCCAGTACCCCCCTGCTGCAGACATGTTTTCCCAGCTGTGGCACGAAGGTTGCTTTTCGATGCTAGTAGCGGCATCCGATACCGGGAAAGTCTCGGCGAGATCTCTTGCCCTGTCGTGGATTTGCGTGCAGAGCATAAGTATAGCTCGTGGCCCACGACGAACCAACTCAAATATCGTAAAGGAGGTGCTCCTTCCCGGGTCGGCTCTGTTTCCTGCAGAGCCAGGCACAGCGCCTAAGCACGCCGTCCCAAACTTGTCAGGAATCCGCGGAACTGAATCGAGGAGTGCAAAGTCATCCACCACCCCAGTTGCAATTCGACGGTATGTTTCGCCTGGAATGTTGGAGGTGAACAGAAACCATGATTTGGAATGTCACCTGAGCGCCCCTGCCCGCCACAATAACTTCTTTCGAGTGGTGGCTCTGCTACTCTCCGATACTTGCTGTTTCTTAACAGACAGCAGCAAACTACAAATAATCATAGCCACCAACTCGTGGAAGAAAAGCTCGAGCAAAGAGCTCACTACGCAGTCATCATGGACCAGCTCGCGATTTCCTTCCCTCATGGCCTTGTCTCACGTCACCTACTCCTGCCTGAGCCATCGTTGTTTCTCGCTCGACATCGCGTACATCAGGGGTTCATGGTTATTTTTTGGGGTTCAGGGCGCTTCCCTCTACTCATGGAGCAAAGCTGCAGGAGGCACACCGGTGACCGCCTCGAGCTGCTGCTTCAGCCTGACGAACTACACTCCAAGCCTTCCCGAATTCCCGCATCCAGGAGAATGCCCCGTTTGGACTTTTTTAGGTTGCACGGTGAAGCCCGCGCCGCAAATTAGACTACGCATCAGTCCTGATCGCATGGCCTCCGCACTACATGTACGGACTGGGATCAGTGGGTCGATGTTCCGGATAATTAAATGTGAGAGGCTTGGCATTTCGCAATGCTGAAGGGTGTGTGTTTGGGGTTGACGGAATCGCTATTGAGCGTGCTGCGTGCAGATCTAAAGCCGGAGATCCCCAAAAGGAGATCCATTTTTAGCATCATGCCAAGCCTCACATGCCCGCTCCTCGCTCGCTCTCCCTCTCTCTCTCGCCGGCATAGTGGGCGGTCACCCGCGACCTTGCCGGGTACAGTACAGGGGAGTGAGAAACGCAAAAGCTCTTAGGATTGGGCTGAAGCCATGAAGTTTTAGATAGCAGCTCCTCTCAGCTTTTTCTCGAAAGCTTGGGGGAGACAGAGGAGAAGGAACACGCCGGAGTAATTGGTCTCGCCCGGGAAGATGCAAGGTCGGATTTCTCTGAGCCTCTGAGCCCCGAGAGGAATTAAAGAGATTGGAGCGTCGACTGACTACACGTCGGCGGCGATGTCATCTGCTGAGGTAGGATTACAAGTCTCACACGCCGAGGGAAGCTTTGCAGGTCCCTTGGCAAAGCGGAGCAAAAACAAGGTGAACTCAAGAGTGGAGCATCCTCCCAAAGCAGGCCTGTTCTGTCCGTTTATCTCTCTCTCTCTCTCTCTCTCCTGGGCATGAGGACGGGTTAGCGTCCCCGGGCATCATGCCCACCCACTACCTTGAGTGGATATGCGGGGAGTGAAAGACGAATGTTTGGTCCCCCGGCAGGCTGAGGCCATAAAGTGTACGATAAAGAGAACGGGGGACGCATACATTCTCAGTGGACATTGGCTCCTCAGGTAGGGAAGACACCTGGTTCCCCGCTAAGCGAGGCAAAGCAAGTTTACGAGTGATACCGAAAACGTGTGTGGGAACCATTCTTCCCCCGCGTTTACAAATCTAGTCCGATCTACAAGTCTAGAGTCTCGGGCATCAGACTATCGCGGTCCGAGGAGGTCTAGCTTGGGCATTTACGAGCCAAGCGGTTCAACTGAAAGGGGATACAAAAGTTCGCACCGGATGAATTGGCATCCCCCTTAGGAAAAGCAGGGCAATTGAATTATTTCGAGTTCGGCAGGTGGAGTGAAAGTATTGGCCAGAGGCCTCAGATTAAAAAATTCTTGTTCCAGGCGTTGCAGGTCGGCAACAAGCCCAGGAGGAGTCAATGTTTGGCGCTGACCTCTGCCGTAGCAGGCTATGTTACATACGAGTTCGAGCTCGCGTCATTGCCCCCCGACAAAACACAAGGCTCGAGGGTGGGCTTCAAAGAAACTTTGACACAGAAGACCCTAGCGCATGCAAAGGATCCCCCGGTGCAGGGACCCAAGTGACCATGAAACAGAGAGAGGAAGAAGGTTCTGCATCCCCCGTCCTAAGAGAAACCAAAAGTAGCAAACCTAAAAGGCAGTCCCTTCCCCCAGTGTGCACTCAAGCGACGAATTTTTGCCAGCTCACTGCGACTTTCATGAAGGTCCTCTTTGCGCTCTTGCCTTGCCGCACGCTTCTGCCATGTCGTAGGAGTCGTTTGTACGAACTGAACCACGTCGCCCTTCCTGCCACTGGCTCAGACTTGTACTTGAGGTACTCCCCCGCCCAGCGTACAGATACCTCTGAATCGGGCCCCCCAAATCCTTTTTCGCGAGGAGACGGAAGGGCTTGGTCGCTTCCCCCGAAAGGTTGTGCAAGTTGAAGACCTTGCAGTCTCGAACTCCCCCGCTTTGGCGAAGCATTTACGGACTCACCGGTGAGCTCGATTGCGGCGTTCTATGGCTGACTAGTTACTTTTAGAAGGGAGGGGCAGATCCTCTCCCCCTCAACGGCACAGGATGAGGGAGGAGATTCACTGCCACGGCCCCCCCCCTTTGAGAGTACGAAGACGTCGTAGTGGTCGAGGACGATGAAGGCACCTTGAGCCAAAATGGCTCTCTCTCTCTCGCTCTCTCTCTCTCTCTCTCTCTCTCTCTCGCTCTCTCTCTCTCTCTCTCTCTCTCTCTCTCTCTCTCTCTCTCTCTCTCTTGTGCAGACTGCCGGCCGAGGCAAGATGGGTGGCAAATACCGGGTTTTTGCTTTAGGGGTCCTCGTTGCGGGGTCTTTCTGAGAGTGCCAGCTTGCAGTTGGTTTCGCGTGTAGATATATCGGCACTACACCAGAATTTCACATCAAATGTTGCACCTCCAGTTGAAGCGGAGTATGAGGATTCTCACCCGGACCCCAGCCAAGGGCTGAACTCATAGACAGTCATCTCTGGACATACAGGAAGCGTCGCCTCGACAGGATTTGGCTTTCGGCTCTTCTGGTTTGAGTATGGGCTCCATGGTGTGTATAACTGTATAACTGCATGTGAATCGTCCTATCATACTATGATTCTGCTCAACCATCAAATCTGAATACCTCCGAGTCTGCGAACAGGTTCAGCACTCTGGAAGGGATCTGATAGTGGGGGGCGGGGTCTTGGGTGTCGAGTCGAGTCTTCATCTCAAACCTCTCAGCCGTCAACCGTCAAGTCTAAGTCCAAAGCCATGGGATCCAGCCTCGTTCAAACTAGAGAAGCCTCTAAGGGATACCTGGTTCTGCGAGTTAAGATGTCTTCCTTATCGGGTTTAGGACTTAAGCTTCAGGCATACTGCTGGAGTCCTGACAAGTTGCCCAACACGGGGATGAGACCCCTAATCTGAGCTTGCACATATGAATCGCAGGGTTTCGGCCCTGAAGTGCTACAATCCGCTACAAGCCACCTCAGGCTCTCCGCGTCATGTATTTGAAGGCTTGCCTTGGAGGCTTTACGCCCGAATATTTCCGATCCGTTCATCAACCCACGATGCTAAGCGAGCTGACCTTGCAATAGGGCTCCCCGCAAGGAGCTTGATTTAGCGCTCCCACCGCCAAGGCCAAGGCCTAGTTTCCTCACCCCCATGAGAGGTGCCCCTCCCCCTCTGCGACCGAGTGACAATTCCCGGAACAGCCCGGAAGTTCAGCATCCTGAGCTCGTGCTAAGATTTTCGCATTTGGACATGTTAAGGGATTCGTTCAGGGGAAGATTAGACTGAAAGTTATATTGATTTATACAGTCCGGTGATACTACTAAGCAGAGCACCGAAGTGAACAGTCAGCTGTGGCCGGCCTAGAAACACACCCCCGGAATGCGTTTGCGTACTGTAGCACATGGTATTGTATGGGCATGGGGTCAGGCTGGCGAGAGCCGATGAACCTTCTTGCACTCTTGTGCCAGTATTTGGTCTTTGGCCCCTCAAATCCAGAAAACGACCACACTTTCGCGGACAGGTATGAAGCAGTCGTCGTCGGGCCATGGATCCCGAAAGCGACAGCCCTTCCAGCAAAAACAGCGTTCCGATCCTCGTGACAGTCGTCGAGTTGACAGTGCCAGCTGCAAAATGACCGAGGACGGCAGCCAAACTCAAAGCCAGGCCAGCAGCAGCATTATTATCATGGAATCAAAACAACAAACAAGCACAAGGATGACGACGATGCTGGTGATGATTAGGTTTTGAAAGGTTTCGGGTCTCGGGCTTGAGAGCTTTGCATAAGGCAGGGCCGGCTTCTGTCTGCGGCATGAACAAACCAAGACCGCGACACCGGGGGACGGGTGCTACACACGAGGGCTACCGTCGAGATAGGCACCTCGTAAATGCGCTAGAATCTCCGCTAGAACGGGGAGTATAACGCGGATTTAGACCAATGATTCTGACATCCGTCACGCCAACGAGCAGCCCAGCACGACGACCATCTTCGGCATCACAGAAGGAAGGATAGCCTCCATGAAAGTCGTACACACCTTGGACTACCAGCCCGCACTCTTAGTTAGGCATGCAAGGCCATTGGAACACTGAGAACTGTTCTATGTGAACTCCTGCACGACCTTGCCGGCCAAGGCCACCGGGAAAAGTACCCTGCTGCAAAGCTCATGTCTTCGCATCCAAGGGTCCACCCAGGAACCTGGCAGGAACAGGTTGCGATATTCAGGCCTATGCTTCGGTTTGTCAGACCAACAAATCCGAAGCCTGTAAAGCCCTTGAATTACCCTCCTCCCAAGTGTTTCAACCAGCGAAATTGAATGTACCATGCTTCTCGGGGTTATGTACGGCTACCATAAACCAATATTCTTGTTACTGTATGTTACTGTCAGCCTTGCGATTACGACTCGTCTGGATTTCGGGCAAATGTGGGACTTGCCACGCTCGTTTCAGCCAGCCGAGGGCAGCAGGGCCCAGGTAGGGTCCAGGCCCAGCACAAGCGTGCACAATGTGATAAACTCGTACCCATTGCTGCGATGAAACCACATACAGAGTCTTCCTGTAAGAAATGTGTGGAGCCCGACACTGTATTGAACACTTGACCGTTGCTGGTTAAGCGTCCCCAAGCCTCAACTAGACCTTCCTGGACCAGATGGGATGCTTGGGAGTTGTCAGGAGGCCGCCAGTCCCACTCCTCCACCTGCCCGCATCCTCACCATTCATACAGTCTTTGCAACGAAAACGACTAGTACCGGCTTTCTTCTGACCCTACTCGTTCGTACGGCGACCCTGAGCCAGCGCTCTGCACTCATCTCCTAAGCCTTCCTAAGTCCCAGTGTTTGGGCCTTGCGAACCGCTGTTCGACCATATCCGCTGCCGGAAGGCTGCACGCATCTGGCCAAGCGTCACTCATGTCACCTTTGATCGCGGCATTCGGGGTCCTACCGCCTACGAGCACGAAATCTTTACTCGGCTTGGTCCAGGCTGAGTGCAGCTTCAGGCAAGATCGTGGTCCCCCGCTCGATTCTAAGCTCACCATGAGACCAATGCCGATGCGCCTAACCGTTGCCTATGGTCCCTTGCGGCCGTGAGGGTGGAGCTTCAAGAGTTGCCGGCTTGACCTGCTTGTTCAATTGTTGGGGGGTCACTCACCATGAGCAGCTCTGGCTCGATTCTTTTCACTGCGGCACCCTGCAAGGAGTGACGCGAACCAGCTACAGTAGGTCCAACCCTGTCCGAAGCTCTCGTACGCTTAGTGGCTTAGTTGGGCTGAAAGTGACCAGCACTGCTTCTAATCGCCGTGCATGTTCAGGCAGGAAGATGGTCTGCCAAGCGTCGCCAGCATGTCTGTGTGAGTCGGTATTCCCGACCGAGATGCACGACTACCCGCGGGAACACCTGTTGCATGAGAGGCTTGCCAGATCCCACTAGCAGTACTAGCAAGAATAGGCTGCGATAACGGCCGGGCAAAATCCGAGACAGCCTGAAGTCAACTTCTGTGCAAAGAAACCTTGCTTTGTGTTTGCAGGGGTTTTTGACATGTTCACCTTTTCGGCTTCGCCGGTGCATCCGACAAAAGCCAAACACTTTGACACCTGGAATTTCTTTTTTGTTGACGCCACGCCTCTGTGTAGGCGTATCCTTGGATGACCGGGGAGCTGGGGCCCACCTTGGACAGGAGCCAACTCTGAGATTTGCATAGAGTGTCTGAGCATCTAGATTCTAGACTGCGGCATTCATCTCCGCCCTCGCACCGAAATCTGAAGCCCGAAGGTGCTCCACTTGCACGTCTTGCCTGATACTGAAGAAAACTCTAGGCCAATACTGGATGTGCCTGGTTGCCACGATTCTAACGTCTTTGAAACAACGGACGTATTCAAGCTGCCCGACTCTTGAGGGCGACGAAGGGTTGTTGCTACAGTTCGGGGGTCCGTGCTACATTTTCTATGTTGGGCTCCCTTGCTTTCCGAAGTCCCCAAGACTCCCCAGCCGCCAACTCATCGCTTGCTGCAGTGACCTTGACGGATGCCAGCTTGCTCCCCGAGAACCACAAGGTCACGGTCTTAGCGGCTGGAGCATCTCCGTAGGGCCACAAGGGGTTTTGGGGCTTGCATTTCTCATTTTTTCTATGGTGTATGAGGCTGTCAGTTGTGCCGGACTTTTGGGTCCGAAATTGAGGATGTGTCTGAAAATATACAGAGGTTCTGGCGGCAACTGCCACCCATCGGACGATTCAACAGCCGCAGGTAACATTCACTCATTTTTCACCCATTCTGACGAACGTGTCGCGCAATGTCCAATCCGAGCTAGAACCGCTGGGACAGCAACCTGTGCGTAATCGGTATACCGAATTCGAGCATAGTGCCAAGGCTTTTGAAGACGCAGAGATTGAAACTCAAAACCGACAGCCCTCCGGACCTCTGCCCAGATGCCTTCGACCCCCAGATGCAGGGCTTTATGAAACCTGAACCGCCGGTTGTAGGCACCAGCTGGGCCAGCGGCGCAATCTTCTTCCAGCGCATCTCTGTCGCCCAGGTGCCTTCGACGACTCTACCCGACACTTTTTTCAGCACATCCGAAACCAAAGCTGTAACCGAAGATAGGTCTGTTCGCAAGGGGTCGCCTTCCTTTCGTGCCTCTGCATTGGGTTGGAGTTCGATGATAAGGCCTGGTGGCCTTGTTTTCTGCTCATTTGACGTGGCCCCTCCAAGAACCACCAAAAGGGTTCAAACCTGATGTGTTGCAAGCCGTGGCCCAGTGACAAGGAGACAACTTAACGCGAACCTCAAGTTTAAAACCCCAACACCCCAAACCCCTAAATCCTATACCAGCCCTAAAATCCTAAAGCCTAGACCTACTGGACCTACAGCCCGCAGGGTTTCTTTTGCAAATGGCGGCCCAGTCGCCGGCCCAATGAGGTGATCACGAAAGTTGACTGCGCAAGGAAGCGGACGCCAATCTCGCCCTCCCAGTCCTGCGGACTTCAGAGGGCTCCAGGATGCTGGGGTGGCCCCCCCGGCCTCCAAACGCCAAGCCGCAACATCTCCCTACATTCCGAGACAGTCTAGCCCTTGAGCTCTTATATCGGTCGCAGCAACTGCCAAGGCCCGGGCCCGCCGAAGCTCCCCGAAGAGGCCTTTGAAGAAGGGCTCAGCAGCATCGTCGCCCACCTTGCTCTAGGACTTTGGGGATCAAGCAGGGGTTTCGGGCTTCGGACTGCTTTAGCGGTTTACACTCTCACAACTCGGGAAATCCAGCCGAGGTCTGTCGGGCGTGGTCGGCGTGGTCATCATGTGCATGTGCTTCTGTATTTATTGAGCTTGTTGTGTGGATTCGTTTGCTTACGAGTTGAGATTTCGCATATGAGGTTTGCAATCTTTCGATATTGGCCGCTCGGTCAATGTCATCTTGAAAGCTTGGGCGGCTAAGCGACTCCGCACCAGCGCATAAGCTAAACGTTAAGTGCTCAAGCTCCAAGATAAACTGAACCTCGAGAACACAATACTCTTAGCATTGTGCCAGCGTGCTGCTGCTGCTGCTGCTGTTGGTGCTGTTGCTGTTGCTGTTGCCGTGGTTGTGGTTGTGGATGTGGTTGTTGTTGTTGTTGTTGTTGTTGTTGTTGTTGTTGTTGTTGTTGTTGTTGTTGTTGTTGTTGTTGTTGTTGTTGTTGTTGTTGTTGCTTTGTTGCTTTGTTGCTAGTACTGGTGTTGTCGGTGTTGCTGGTGTTGTTTGAGTTGTAGTTGTTGGTGGAGGTATTGCTGTGGCTGTGGCAGTTGTTGGTGGAGGTATTGCTGTGGCTGTGGCTGTTGTTGTTTGTTGCTTGTTGTTGCTGTTGTTGCTGCTGCTGTTGCTTTCGTGTCTGTGTTAGTATTGTTGTTGTTGTTGTTGCTGTTGCTGCTGTTGCTGCTGCTGCTGCTGTGGTCGTGACCGTCGCTGAGAAATATTGCAGGAAGCCTGTTGCAACTTCGCTCATAGGCGAGCGTTCCGTTATTTCCTTTAGCATATCAGCGAAGTGCCTGCCTGCCTTGAAAACTGCGTTTTGGGATTTGGGCTGGGGCTTAAGGGTCAACGAGCATCGGGGTTTGAGGGTACGGGCGCGGGGGACGGGCTCCCGGCAAAGGGCATGCTCGTGGTGGCAGGGTTGGGTGCGCAATCGACGAGGACTCACTACTCACTACCCCCAGTAGCAATAGCGGCAACAGCAGCCGCAGCAACAACAGCAACAACAGAAACAACCGCAAAAACAGTATCAACAGCCTGTCAACAGCAACATTACACGACTTACGCTTACTAAAGAAGCAGTGAAAAATTACGTTGCTATTATTAAGGATTACGACACAGTCCGACTGGTTTCCGACATGCTAAGATCCGACGATGCGTTTTCCATGTTGATGATGTTGGTACCGGTGCTGAACATCTGCTGCTTATGATGATGGTGGTGATGATGATGGAGTGGTGATGATGACAGTGATGTTGCCCGTGGTCATCATGTTCATCACGATGTTCATCATTTAACTGCTATGCACGAGCACTGAACTGGAACCGTTGATCATACAACAGGGTTCTGGCTTCGACGACGCAGCACTCCCATGCATCCCTCTGGTTTAGCAGACTGGCACATGCAAAGGCGAGCTGGAAAGAACTATCGTCTGAAAGTTCACAAAGCGGCCGTTTCCATAGAGACCACCACCTGCATCGCCATGGCACGTGCGAACCCATTGCCGTGGCCCCACTCACACACAAAGACTCTAAGATCTCTTGCATGCTCCGGGTGTATGAAAGGCTTCGTGTGGATAGGCTGTGCGTGCAGCCCGCATTACAGCTAGCTGAATGCATAGCAGCATCTAAGAGCGCTCGAAAGGCCAGAGCCTCGCGTATGCGTGTTTAGGTCTGTCTGGCTGTCTGTCGTTGTGTCGTTGTGTCGTTCTGTCTGTCTGTCTGTCTGCGTAGGCAGGCATGTACGTATACCTATGCTGTGCGTAGACTTACATACATCTACATCTGCATTTCCACGCGCTGGGTTTCGCAGAGAAGCCTCCCCAAACCTAGTTTTGGCAAACAAGCCAGAAATCAATTCAACAACCTGACGTGCATTTAGAGGCAGTGGTGCTTTTCCAGCGCACGATCCGCGGTGCTCCAGACTGGCTTTCTGCCATCTGCTGAGGCTTTCCTTTGTGCTCCGACGACTGTTGTCTCGCATGTTCCGCAGGCCGAGGCGTGCAAACAGGTTTAGGCGGTGAGTCAGTCGAAGAGGAGGACGTTCCGCTTGCATGGGCACCGTGTTCCGTGAAAGCTGCCTGATGCACAGTGTGTCAGCCCCGAGTCACGCAAGCAGTCTACAGTCAACAAAATCTCTCCAGCCATGTGCCTACTTCAAGACTTAGAAAAAGCCCTACTACGAGCATCCAGATTCGATCTGCCACTACAACAAAGCCCAAATCTTACAATGGTTTTATCTAGGTCTGCTAATAATATTGCTTTGACTTAGGACAAAGGCTCTATGTTGAGGGGCGCTTATTTCCTGAAATTATCCAGCTCAGCGGCCAGCAACAGACGCAGAGGGCAGTGGGTCCGGTCTTCCCGGCTAACCAGCTCAAGAGGTGGCGCGAGAGACGAGACTTTGCACTTTCCACCTGAAAGAAAGCCCTAGATTTGGGGAGTCGGAGGCTTTATTTAGGCGTGTTTGAACTAGTGTCCGGGCAACGAAGCTCTAACGATGGACAACCATAGCAGCCCGTTTAGGGGTTTTTCTGATTTAGGTGCTGGGGTGTACGGGTTTGGAGTTTGCAAAGGGCACTTCGGGTGATCAACGACCCCTTTCAAGCAGGATTCGTTGCGCAGTTGACAAGTGCCGCAAATCCAACATGTAGGAAGAAACCGGCTTTACATCCTACTTCTCAAAGATGATATGTACGATTCTATCAGTCTTCACTTCATTGAGCAATTCAACAACTGTGATTCGATTGGTGCCTGGATTTCCACGCTTGTTCGCAGCTCTGCAAGCCCTGTTTTCGGAGCGCGCAGATTTGGGGCAGGAGCTTCTCGGACCGTTTGGGCATTGGGCTTGGGTTGAGAATGGCGGGCGCTCGGGTATCGAGACTGCGGAGATGGGACAGTGAGGTTTGCAAGGCCCCCCCACAGCCTCAAGTACAGCGGCAGCGGCAGCAGTGAAGCGGTCTGCGCCATCGCCTCGTTGATCAAACATCTTGCTTCCTCCTGCTCGGTATTTTCGCTATCCATGTCCGAATCGCTGCGCAAGGAGACTAGTGCAGCAAGATAGATGAGAGTCACGGGTTTGGAGCGTGCCAGCACCAGCACTTCTCCGATCATTGAACCTCATCTCTTGTAACCTCACCTAACCTATCTCAATCCTAAAAAACAATGTATATAACCTGTCTGCGAGTCCAGCTAACCTGTCTACTCAAGCTGTCAAGTAGTCAATTCGTCAAAAGACATCAAATCAAGACATCCGCCTGACATGCTAAGGATAAAGCAGCACCCAAGTGCGCTCTTGCATGATGCTCAACTAGGTCAGACCTTCTTGCCTGCTCGTTCAAAAACAGGTAGGCCGGGGGCGAGGAGGACGAGGATATGTAATCTCGATATGCATAGACGGCTGGCTAGTCCCAAGCCCCAAGTGTCCCACGGTTTGTTTGTCGATTTGCGGCACAATTTCCGCAATCCTCTTGAGGGAATCTTTCAGATTTGGGCTGTGCACTGCGCTCTGCTTTCGATGCAAGTCCTGCCCTTGTTCCCTTCGTCTCCCTCTCCTCGTCTCCTTTGTTTTCCTCGTGCCGCCTCCTGTGCTTCCATTGCCTTCCTTGCGTCCAGTGGCGCTGCCCATTGCTTCCTCCCCTGGCTTGTGCTTGGTGGTGGTTTGTGCGAGGACTCTTCCGCATGTCATGGCAGTTATCTTGACGCATCATGCCACTGTGGTTTGCTCCTTCCCGTGGGTCAATCCTGCGCGCATGAAGGCCGAGAGAAACCATCGTCAAACATGCCCACCTGGGCCGGCTACAAATGCCTAATTAAGACGCTTCGTTTCAAGAACGTCTCAACTCCAAATCAACTGGCAAATCCTCGACGTCCACCACAGGTCCATCAGTATCTAAATCCAGAAGCCCCTAAGAGAAGGCCCAAAAGCCCCGCCGAAATTCCACCCGACAGGCCTGGTGAAACGCCGCTCCAAAGCCAGGCATCGCTAAAACCTTCGACCCAAAACTCCTAAATGCCCCCAAGGCCCTTTTTCCTCAAGCCCTGTCTAAAAGCTGTCCTGCAGTTGCACGCAAGGCTCGAAGTCCTCCGCTTGCACGGCTGCGTCGCGACCGGGGAGCTCCCGTTGCCAAGCCTCCAGAAAGGCGAGGCATTGGACCAGCTCCTGCTACGAGGTGTTCAACGTGTGCAATGGGTCTATATGCCGCATACGATATATGAGATAACTCTTTATATACAAAACGGGACACTGTGAGAGTGCGAGTGCTGTTACGCATAAAAAATACTACGTTTATACATGCATAATTACATTTACATATATACACCTACATGAAAATGTATCCATATGTGCTATACAGACCAGATGGGGTGGATTATAGTAACGTGTGAGATTACAGAAGCCGTTCAAAAACTATAAACAAGCGCACTCTCACAGCGACCCGGTCTCCAAAACGGGGTATATGCATATAGATGCATGTAAGCATGTTGCATAACACGTGCACGACATCACAGTGAAAGGGCTTAGGGTTGAGGGTTTTATGCCTTAGGACTTGGGGTTAAGGCGTTTGGGATGAAGGCTCAGGGGCTTGAGGGTTTAGTTTTGGCTGCATATTTAAGCTAAGGGCTTGTGTTCACGGGTTGCGGGTCATACGCCTTTTGGCTAACGTTGGAGGGCTTAGGCTTCTAGGAAAGGGCTTTGGATTATTTTGGGCACCAAGGTTGGGGATTGGAACTCTAGGGGCATGGTTGAAGTGTTCGGGGGGTTTCGTGGCCAACCTTGAGTTTTACTTCGGGTCTGCGCAAAGCATGTTTGGGATTGCAAGGTGTGCTTGGACAATTCAGGCGAGGCATGTGGTTCGGGGTCTGCTGAGTGAAACGACACCTAGGCGGGGTTCTGAAGTCGCAACAACAGAACTCCATCAAATAACTTTCCAGCCCCTCAAGATCCCTGCGAATCAAGCGGAAAGGGTTAAGGGTTTAGGGCTGAAGGAGATGCATTTCAACCATGGAGCTCTGTTGGAAGAGCTCCGGGTTTGTGGCTCGTCGATGTTTCATGGTTCAAGGTTTCTTTCGCTCTGCCGTGCCTGGTTCAAGGTTTACGGAGCGGAGATTCGGTCGCGGCTTTACGTTATAGGTCTTTGAACGTACGGCTACGAGTAGAAATATATCAGTCGTGAACATCGTCCTTGAGGCGTGGGTGAGCTCGGTACGGGTGCTTTGATGGCATTTTGCGAGGTTCCGTCGGCTTTGTCTGTGGTTTCTTTGCTCCCTTCACTCTACAGTCGAAAGCATGTGACCCTCTTCCCAAGCATAAAGTTCAACCTGGTGGACTATCTACATGCACAGATAGTCTTCCCTACATGAGACTGACTTTTTCGGCTGGCATTGAACATGCGGCTGGCACGCAAAATGCGAGCCCAAGCCGAAGAATCCCACGGTCCTGGGGTCGCGGATCCAGTGCGGATGACTCCCAGCTCTTCGCCTGCATCGGGCAATGCTGTTTCGATGCAATCACCAAAACCCTGAACTCAGCCGGTCCCGAAACCTTAATTTCTAGACCTGCAAGCGTCTGGCATGGCACCGAAAACCTGTAAACCAAAACGGCAACTTCAAAGAGCACATCTGTTACAACAATCTCTGACCGATTCTGGCCTCCAGCAACTCTTCCGCCTGGGTCTCGGTGATGTTCGTGACCTCCACGCCGAGTGATATCATGTTGGTAGCAGTAGCACGCAAAGCCGTAATTTGACAAAGTTCGAGAAAGAACACCAGCAGACCGCCTGTTCTGTCGTTTTTCTGAAAGACCGCAGATCCAGTCGTCTGCTCACTCCAATTAGCTGCACTGGCTGCTGCCTCAGCCTTTCAACTGAGAGACTCTCTCGCTCCCTGCCGCTGGCTGCATTCGTATGGCCCCACTACATGCCGAGGCATGACGTGACTCAAAGATGGACTGCGCAAGGCTCGAGGGGGGAACCCCAAATCCGGAAGACGCCTTCTCACATCCATCCCAAGCCCCCCCCCCCCCCTCGTGTCAGAAATCCTACACTCCTAACAATCTCCTAACACATCCGTTTTACCACTGGACTCGAGTCTAGCCAGTCTACGACCCCTAACATATCCTAAGACCGGTACCTTTAGCGCAAGGAGCAGCTCGAAGGACACCGTGCCGTTGGCACGGTACAGCATGGGCCCAGCTTTGGCGGGAAGAGTATGTGGCACAAGCTGCCTAGGCTTGTCAGAGGCTTGGGGGGTTGCAGCGTGGTTCATCAGAGTCAAGAGTTTTCTGAGAAGCGCGAGGGCTTGAGGCGACCTCAGAGTTGCAGATCTTAGAGTTGCTCAGAAATGGTCTTAAACATTTCACAGCATGGATACGAGCTGCCTGCGGTGAGCCAGGCAGTGGTGTAGAAGCTCGGACCTCTTTGGGCTGTCCGGGAACTGCAGGGGGCAGACCAGCCTTGCTTCCGAAACACAGAACTCTTGGATATTCTTGGATTGTATCGCCAATAACTGTATGCGACCTTACCTAATGCTTAACTCGGAACCTGCAGATCATGGGTTCAGCAGCCGGGTAGCCCCTGACAGGGGTTGTCCGGAATGACGAAGCCGTAACAAAACAAGAGCTGCTCGTTGGTGTACTCTCCATAGCAGATTCGAATCTCCTCCCCCTGGGCAATGTCCCGAACTGCGACCATGGAGATACTTCCGTCTGCGTTGTTCCGAACGTCGGCGTTGGCGACCTTGTGGGTCGCGGCATGATTAGCGATGTCCACAATGGGAATCAGCACCAGCCGATCGCTCCCTTTGGGGATTTTGAAGGCGCGAGACATGATCACAGACTGCGCCCAAACAGACAGCTCCCAGAAGTGTTGGGGGTCATCTGCACTTTGCAACTCCGGTCCGACTGAATCCAGCAGTTTCGTGCGCAAAGAGAGCGTGTGACGAAGCAGGGACGTCCCTTTCAAGGCGGCGGTCAAGGGCTCTGGAGGCCCGTCGGCGAGGCTGCCCGCGGCCAGCTGCAACGGGATTCCTGGCTTGGATTGCAAGTTTACACGCACCATGAGCTCTTTGAAATTGGACCCTTGGTATGCCGAGTCGATGCTGTAGAATGACGAACATCAATCTAGCAGCCGTCGTCGTTGTGAATCTCGGCAGCGACGACACGATCGACATCACTTAAACTCAGTTGAATTTGAGTATCTGCAAAGAGACATGTGAATAGCGAGGTATTCTCAAACATCGCCAAAGGCACTTCCCGGCGGCTGCATCGCCTTCACGAAAGGGCTGGGTTTGGCCACAGCGTCCACCAGCCGCCGCCTCTTGCAAGATGGCTCGTCTGGGGCTTCTAGGCATTATCTTCCCTGATGCGCGTAGAATTTTGGGGCATTGAGGTAAAACTGACTCTGTGCTCGGATCTTCTGTCTGTGTTAAAGCCTGCATCCGAGTCATACTGGCATCAAACAAGATTAGCCCTGAACGCCCCTTACGGTCCACAGCGTTTAACGGATTCCAATCCACTGTTCAGCGTACCGGAGGGTCCGCTCTACTCAGTGGTGCACACGGTTTCAGGGCCAAAAGAGCCTTGGATGTCGGAGCGCAGAGGAAGGGGAAACCCCCAGAATCCCCACACGCCAAAGACCCAGGGCACCCTTGCAAATACGCCCACAAACCAAGTAACACTCCCCTGTCCAACTTCACATCCCCAACCCCCAAGCACTGAGCCTTACGAGCCGTCCCCGAAGCCTGGACTCTGGGGTATACCCTATTTATAGCGGAACCATGGTAAATATAAACATTACATATTATACGCTATAACCATTTCTACTTTAATCGTGCTCCCCAAACATTTTATTTGCAAAGCCTGCCTCAAGAGCATCGACGCTCCAGGAAGCTCCTCACCGGGCGCCAAGGAATGGACCCCGGCCGGCGCATGGCACTCCCGCGCGACCCACCTGTTTGAGAGTGTCGTGTGGAGTTTAAGGGTATGTTAGGACCGTATGCGGTTTGGGGCTTCAAGCCTTTTGCAAGACATTTTGCGCATCGGCTTCAGCTTGATGAAGGACACCGACACTGACGAGAAGTGTCGTGGCGGCTCAGATTCGAGGTTGGAAGAGCTGGGCCTTTTGGGTGGTTTTGCGTCTTTTCGGGATAGCCCTGCGGCCTACTGCCCAAACCCTACCTAGTCTACAGTTATGCACAGGAACAACACACCTCTGCTCCCCCAACCCTGCCTGTCCATCTAGAAAGCGAATGTTGAAGCCCCCTTTGACAGGATCTATGGCAATGATATGTCAATAAGTCATATTCAGTAGATCGGCTTGGTGTCAAAACATCGAATGCCGTTTTGATAGTAGCCATAACACTACGAGTATTTCATGACACGCGTCTTAAGATGCCAAACCCACACATGCCACCACAGGCACAAGAGCTTTGCAGGCGTGGTCACCTCAGGGTTTAAGGGGTGCAGGGTTTCCATGTCTCTGGGCTTGCGTGTTTGTGCTTTGACGAGGGTTGGGGGCAAAAGTCTTGAAGGTCTCGAGCTGCAGGGGTCGAATCGTCCTCGAGGCTGGTGGCGGTGTTGAAGTTGACCAACCGGAAGCATCTGCGAGTTTTGGTGTTCCAGTTCCAGTGCACGGTTTGGAGGTCTACCTGATCTTAGCATCGACAGCATCCGGAACTTCCTGAAGCCTGCTACAAGACGAGGTGGCCTGGACCCTGTCAGAGCGCATGCCCTGGTTCCACACCTGCGGGTTTAGGGATCCTTTGAACCGAAAATGCACCAAATGCGGCCAGTCGCCAGCACAGCGTCTTTTCCGATGTCGGCCCGGGCGCAAAGAGCCCATCCGAGGCCCGGGAGTTGCGTTGCCTGGATGCTCTCGTGCACAAACCTTGAGCTTGAGAGTGGGGGGATTGAGGGTTATTGGCAAGTTATTGGGGCCTAGGGCTTCGGGGCTCTACTTCTTTTGGGCAAAAGAGTAACGAAGCCTCCAAGATGCCCTCCCCTTGTGCGATGCCACTGCAGCACGTGGCTGGGGTCGTCGCTCTGCTTCCTGAACGGCATTAATTCAGTGAGATGCAAGTAAGCATATTGATGACTACAAGTGCTACAGCAGCGAGGCTTGGTTTGGGTTTCGAGTTACACAGCGGCTATCCAAGACCTAAATTCAACATCAACGTCAACCCTGGAGCCAGAAAACGAGCACTAATCCCTCGCGTCCTGGAGAGAGCTTGACTCCCTTCGTGGCCCTTGCAGGCTGCAGGAGCACTCCAAAATGCAGCTTTCCTGGGAGAGGTTGACTTCAAGTGAAGACTCCTTTCTTTTCAGGCTGGGCATATGGGCCCAGCGTTTAAGTGCGACACGATGTCACTCTTGATCCTTTCGAGGTTTCTTTCCAACTGTCATACAAGTCCTGTCTTCGGCATTATGTCAGTAATTACGGCCCGCAGTTGCTTCGTGAACACGTGCCGGAACTTGGGCCTAGCCTCCATCTGTGAAGCCTCCTCGGCGGCAAAGGCTTTGCGGTCGTGGCGTCATCGGAGAACTTGGGCACACCCAGACCGGCCACAAATGGCAGGACGGAGCTGCAAACAGCTCTGCGTCTCATAGTGTTGGGCGCTGGTGAAGGATGCAGGATAAACCAGCTTGCTGCCAAAGAGAGTCTGCAGTTATGACCTGAGATCACGACCTTGTTATCCTCCGATTTCTCCGAACGCCCGAAGCATGGCTGAGGACTGGGCTTCCGAAGTGCAGGCCCTCGTGAACTACGGGTCGTGTGAATCTGAACAGTTGGCAAAGTGGCCACTTCCATCGTTTGGAACAAGGTGCTTCGCATGCATGGACATGCAATCATGCATGTTACGAGCTACAGGTCATCCCTTCCCCTACAAGTAGCTTGAAAAACAAGCCAACAAGTTGGCTATGTCTTCTGCCTCAGGAGCTCTGCTCTCGTTTACTTCAGCATCTGCCCTGAGCCTGTCATCACGATCGAAAGTAACGGCGTGCTTTGGTGTGCGCCTGTAGCCTGAGTCGCTGGGGCATACCTTTCCATAACTTTCGATGAGCACCGAGGACACATGACAGTGCTCTCAGATTCTCACCCTAGTCACTTACTGGGCATGTGCTGGGCAGTCCTTGGCTTGGCAAAGCTGCACGGGAGGTCCAAAGCCTTGCACCCACAAGCCGAAGACCTTATTATCCACGTCGGCTATGGTCCTGGTTCAGGACGCAGAGATTTGACTCATGGGGGCAGGGGAGGCAAGGAGTTCCGGCATCCGCTCCGTCAATTTTCGCGCATGTGGCAGGCAGTAGCAAACTACCATATCCACGTATATCGCCGCATGGGAATTCATTTTTAACGCGACTGGTCTGTGTTGGCCGGAAATCCCCATGACGTGATGACGGCCGCATTGAGCCAAACCTGATCTAACATCGGCGTCCTCGCCTATCACAAACAATTATGTATGCTGCAGGCTGCAGCACGTTAAACTTTGAGGCAGCTATTCAGGCAGTCATTGGCCTACTGCGTGGACGAGCTGAGAACCTCACGGGCTTGCCCGTTCGCAACATTCCGCATGTCCCTACCGATCTTATGGCCGACAATCTGCACAGCCTGCTTTGTCAAAGGGCCAAACAACCGGCAGCCGATTGGTTGCTCGGCTCCACTCCACATAAGCCCAAGTCAGGATCAGGCCTTCACTGCCACGACTACCCACATCGGGTTGGCACGCCTTGCAGCACTCTCTCGCGACCAACCCAACCAAAGTTACGGGCTTGCACAGTGCCCCCAAAGCGAATGAGGTGGCCGAAAGACCATCACTTTCTCTCTCTTCGGGGTCCAAAAGGCATGCCAGGGCAGCTGGGCCAAGCCTTAAACTCTGCAAGAGACCTTCCTATCTTGCATGGGCAATCGAGATCGAGGCCCAGACGGGCCCTTGCTTATGTCCACCGACTGGATATCCTTCCTGTCAACAAAATGCGGATTAGGGGTCCGGAGGCTTTAGGCCGTGAGCTATCCTTCAATGCAGATCTGAAGCCGCTGAGTCGGATCTGCAGCCATGAGAGTTCTGAAAGCTACTTCGGACCGCAGAAACCACTTTAGAACCGCAAAGACAAGCTTGTCGTAAGTACCGTGCTTTGCGTTTCAAGGAAGCTCTGGCCACACGGCAAGTCTTCTTGGAGGGTTTATGCCCTCACGCTCGGGCAGGCCGAGGTCTGCCAGGTCGAAGTATACAGGGAGAGAAGGACCGGGAAGCAGTTCGCGCGTGTTGTTGAGATGCAGCGTAGAGGTTCTGAACATGCCACATACATTTTGAAACGATAAGCTCAGTGATTTTGGTAAGGGCTTTCGAGGCTTAAGCTGTTGGGGTCGCAACTGATGCTCAAATGGTTCAGGGTCTCCAGTTTTGAAACGACCTCACAGAGGAGAGTGCAAAGAAAATCAGCAAGCCCTGAGTCCCCTGACCATCCACCGGAGGGGTTGAAGCGGAAGTAATTTCCCACCTTGCGCGTCTGGAGTGTCAGTGACCTAAAGCTTTTTTTGGGCTTTCGGCAGATCTCAACAATCAACCGCATCTCGTCGCCCACATCCAAAACCTGGACCCCGCATACCGAACCTTGGAGTTGACAGTGAAACTGATCGGACCCTTCAACAAGTCGAGCTCCGCATGCGCTGCCCCAGGTGGTGCGCATCCATGAGTTCCATGCGGGGCGTGTGGACTGCTCCAGGTCCCGATTCCCGATAAGTGCCAGCAAAGCTGGTGCAGCCGACCACCAACAGTTCCGAAGGCCTTGACCCCGACGAGCCTCATCTGAAGCCCCAAGTCCCGACGTTAGACGTTGAGCCTACACCTACACCATCGCCATAAAATGCTTAGAGTCCCCGTCGAGCTTGAGGACCTCAACTGTTTTGAGAACCTGGGGCCCGGCTATTTGGCAGTGGCCAGGTCCGTCGCCTTGGAACATGGGAAATCATCAGAGCATGTTGGGGTTAGGGCATTCAAAACTTGGCTGGCTATAGGTTTGCTCACTAAGCTAGACGTTGGGGTGTACGGTCAGAGGGCTTAAAGACCGAGAAATTTACGGCCGAAGTTTTACACTCACATCCGGGACAAGACGCCTATCACCACGAAGCCTTTAGGCTTTAGGGTTTCGTGGTGATGGGCATGAGGATTCGGTCGAATGAGGCTGACAGTGCTGAGAGCGAAAAAGCACTCGCTTCACCCACACTCCCTACAGACTCGTAGGGGCCGTAAGCAGCGTGAAGTGGGAGGGAGGGGGAGAGGGGGAGACAGATAGAAGGAGAGAGATGAGAGAGAGAGAGGGAGAGAGGGAGACAAAACAAAAACAAAACACAACAAGAGAGAGAGGGCGGGAGAGGGGCGGGCGAGGGGACGGAGGGAGAGGGAGAGGGAGCGGGAGCGGGAGAGAGAGGGGGGGAGGGAGGGAGAGAGACAGACAGAGAAGGAGCGGGATGTCCGCCGATGCTGGCTGTCATCAGACTTAAGCGTGCAGGGTACGTAGAGTTTGAGGTGTTGGTACGTAGACATGCCTAGACCAAGCAATAGTGAGCTCGAGCTGGCTACTGCACTGCACCTGCTTTGTTGAGTCAGGTGAGAAAGCAAAACATCCTTTAACCTGAAACTTGTGGCAGGGCCTCAAACGACTGCAAACCGTTTAGCTCATAACTCCGATCCAAAAAGCCCAGCCCATCCTTGACAGCACCTGCATGCGACAGCACTCCTAAACGAAGCCGCGGAGGCTACAACCCCGCAATAACCTCTGCCCTACGGATCCTGTAAGAGCTGCACGCTCTATCGCTTTCGTCGCTGCCTACTCAGTATATTGCAAGGCGACCTTCTCTACTGCTGTTACTGATGCTATTCTGTCGTGATTCAATACTAGGATTAGTCTGATTGCCACTCTTCAGGTTGTTAGCTACTGCTACAGCCGAAGGTGTGGACACTCCCACAACTGGCTGGGGCTGGAACTCATGTCCCGAACCCACATTGAAATTGCCTGCGGGCTCAGGCTTCAGATTCTTGGTGTAGGAGCATTTGGATGTAGCTTGTTGCGTCGCGAGCTCCCTGCCTTGGTAAAGAAGCACCGATTGCTGAAGGACATGATGGCCACACCTTAGCAGGGCATCGGCAGCGAAAGTGAAGAAGTCAGACGTCCAGCTAATCACAACATACTCCGTTCTTCAGGGTCGGGCTTGCGGCGTCATGGCTACACTTCATGCTGAGGCTGGAAGGGGCCGGCTGACGCTTCCGTGGCTAAGCTTCCCTTCGCATTGGGAACTCTCTCTCTCTCTCTCTCTCTCTGAGAGAAGAGAGAGAAAGAGAGAGAGAGAGAGAGAGAGAGATAGAGAGAGAACCTACCACCTTCTTCACACCATGCCAGCCCGCCTTTTTGTAGTTCAGCGCGCAAAACAAATAATTCGCAAATGACATTTTTGAAGCTTGGGTATGTGGCGAGCGGATGTGTGGGTGGTCTGGCGGATGGGGGTGGGCGGGTCGGATGTGCGCGCGTGCGTGCGTGCGTGCGTGCGTGCGTGGGTGGGTGGGTGGGTGGGTGGGTGCGTGCGTGCGTGGGTGGGTGGGTGGGTGGGTGGGTGGGGGTGGGTGGGTGGGTGGGTGGGGGGGGGGGGTGGGGGGGTGGGGGTGGGTGGGTGGGGGGGTGGGGGTGGGTGGGTGGGTGGGCGGGTGGGTGGGTGGGGTGGGTGGGGTGGGTGGGTGGGTGGGTGGGTGTGGGTGCGTGGGTGGGTGGGTGGGTGTGTGTGTGTGTGTGTGTGTCTGTCCGCCCCTGTTCCCAAGGGTTCCGCGCGGTCGCTGAGTAATCTAGCGGCTGGGGTTCTGGAGAAAATTTCCGAGGGGGTCTCCACTGACGAGGCCTAATCCCCTCCTGAAAAAGCCGAAAACCCAAGAAAACAGCGCATGTCATACCGCACTTGGGTCGCGAGGCGACAGCTGGTGGGTATTTCATCGCTTGAAAGTTGTGTGCATTACTCTGCTTCACATGTTGCTCGCACTTGCATCTCAAACAGTGGCCGCATCTTGGTCATGATTCAGTGCCTACTGGCTTTGTGCTCCCTAAGAGCGCAGTGATAGGAATCGGTCGATGTTCATTTGAACTCTGACCTGATTCTCTTATCAAGTGTGTTCGGGTTGTCTTTCTGACAAAGCGACAGCTCTGATCCTGGTCTGCAATCCCTTGGATGTATGGCCACGCGACCCGTCGACTCCTGAAGTTCATTCCCTGATGACACGGTCGACACCATGAAAACAACATTGTACAAGCTAGGATCCATATGGAGACAATGTCAGTCTCGCCAGTTGTACGTAAGATTTTCGGCGCCCCTGCCCTTACCACTGTAACTTTCTTGCCGCCATGATGTAGTCGAGATCTTCGAGACGCAATGCCAAGAGTAATAGTTCAGGCTCTAGGTGCTGCTTGGCTAGGTTCAAGGTGATGCTTGGCTAGACTCCAGGTGATGCTTGGTTAGGCTCTAGGTGTTCCTTGGCTTGCACCTCGGTCGCAAAGGCTCCTTGGTCAGGCTCAAGGTGACTCTTGGCTAAGTCAGTTAGGCCCCCCCTTGCCCCTTTTGGG